GATTCCCAGCTTCTTCATAGCACTCGGTCACCTCTAGGGCATGAAGCTCTGGCACAGTCACCTCATCGACAGTCCATCACACACACACACTTCCATGCACAGTTACAGAATCATATTTCATTAAATACTGGTTTTCTGTATTAAAATCCATTTCACAACACTGCATCCTCCTTTATGCCTTGCCTTACGCCGGTACCCACAAGCCATGGCTGACTGCCTGACACAGTGTCAGGTGAGGATCAGGAGGAGTGCTCACCTTGGTGGGCTTTCTACACTTTTGCTACACAAGCTCAGGTTACTTCTCTGAACCATCTTTCACTCATATTCCTGCTGGACAATTCAGCTGGGAGGCGTGGGAGGTTGGGATTGCCTTGGAGCTCTTTTGTACAGTGCCTGTTGCAGTACCTGATCAAAACATTCAGGTTTTTTTCTACTCAAGGTGCATTCAGCTGTGTATTTACTTGCTCAGAAGAATTTTTTGAAGCAACTGGCAGATATTTCATTTATCAAGAGAGAAAACATACCCTTGAAGGTTTGGTGACATATATATCAGGATATATACATGCCCATATGTATATAAATATGTTGTGTGTGCATGCAGAAATGTAGAGGGAGATGACTGATGGACAGACAGTTCATGAGAGAGTTGCAATTAATTTCTCTGTTTAGATACATGTACGTAGATACAACATTCTCAGGCTCCCTAAGACAAACTGCAGTTAAATACATCAATAGGTAGCACAGTTAACTAGTACAAAGTAGTAATCTTCTCCTTCATTTGCCGTTTTTCCTCAGAGATATTTTTCTTATTGTTTGCACACCACTGCCTTTGTGCTTTGATTACAGCTACACATGTAATAATAAAAATGACAACAAAGCTGAGCCCATTTCATCTATGTGATGATAATCACAGTGTGCATATTTCTGGCACATTGCAAAACATTGGAAATCCCTGGCCAGGTGTCATCAAGTGGAATGGAAAATATTTACCCAAGAGATGTACTTTTAAACCAGCTGACTAAATGTCTGTTTTCCTCAACTGCTCTTTCTGCTGAAAGTTTTCCCAGGACCTGTTTTCTGCTTTCTGACCTAATGGGGAAGTGACCAACTGCCCAGTGTGAGAATACTGAAAGTCAGGAGGCTGTAGTTAGCCATTCATGAACATCTGAGGACTGAAATCTGTCTGCAGAGCTAACAGAGCAAATTATCTGTAAATACTAACTTTCCAGCCACTATGGCCATATTCCAATCCAGATAAAAGAAAACTGGACCCATAGTTCTGGACCAGAAGCATTTGCATGTGCTGTGACCACTGATAACAAGGTTTCCTGTTAGGTTTTCATTCTTACCCTCATTTTAGGTAATTCAGTGGCCTTCAGAAAAGGCCATTCACTGTCTCTTTATTCCCCCAACCACAAAAGGGTGGCAAAAATAAGTAGGACTGGGTGTGGTAACTAAGTATATGAGAAGGTGTAAGAGGAAGGAACCTACAACCCTCTTTATCCTATCCCATCCCTCCCCCACTCTCTGTGCCTGACAGTCTGTACATAAATACATCTGCCCTTGCTGTTAACCACTCTTCTTCTGTGCATATATCCAGCACATCTCGATAGTTATTACCAAGGCAGTCATATTCCTGAACAAGAATAATCATTAGCCAAATCAGCATCTGGAGACTGTATTTTCATTAGACTTCTACTTACTACCAATAATCACATGCAGAAACTTTCTGCTGGACTTCTCCCTCCGGAAAAACAAGAGTATTCAGTGGAGACAGGCTAAGGAGTTTTCAGGTTAGGCTGTGTTGTGCACACATACTGCGAACAAAATAAGAAAGATGAACGTGCCTCCATGCATATTGATCCTGTTTCCAAACAAATCTCCTGTTTGAGCCTTTCGTCTCTTGCCCACTAAATTCCCTCAGATAACAATGGCTGCACCTACACGTCAGTCTGAGCTGACTTATATCAAAGATGAAAGAAAGGTCAGCCTTTGCATTAACCATATGGCCACTTTGCTCCCTCCTACCCTTTTTTTCACCTTTGTACCTGCTCGATGCTCCATTGCTCTGGTTATGTGTGGAGCTGGAGGTCCAGCAGTGGCCAGGGGTGAGCTCCTGCTGTGCCAGGTGCAGCTTTGTGGTTTGGCTGTGAGAGCACTGTGGAGCTGGTCATCACAGGGCAACAGTCACAAAGTCAGGTCCGTGAGGAAGGAAGGTCCTTTCCTGCAGGCAGGATTTTCAGGCACTGGAAACCTCTAGTTCATCTTGCCAAGAGGGGATTCTGATGCTTTCTAGAAATTATCTGGCAGAACAATCACCTCTAAGAAAGGATTTCCTTTTTGTTTGCTGTGAAAAATAGAATTGGTCTGCCTCCTAATCCAGCTGCCGACAAGAAACTGACAGTTATACTTCTTATCAGAAAACTCAGGTGTTGTTTTTCCCTTTATAGTTCAAGCACCTTTATACCAAGTTTAAGACCTCAAAGCATTAAAAAAATACTCCACTTCCTTTGTTTTCAATATCTCTTCATCAAGCAATTCATCTTGTAGCATTTTTAAGTGAATCAATAAAAGAGGCGGCAAGGTTGCCTCATGCTTGCAAAGCTTTTCGTAGAAATATGTAGGTTAAATGGGACTTTTTATGAAGATTTATACAGAGCAACTTAATACCTTTTTATTTATTTCCTCACATTTACTTCCAGTAGTTCTGTTGTGTTTTATTACTGAAGATCCATGATATCAACAATCCTCCACCTTCCTTTTAGATTTCTACTAATGGCCACCAGGAATGGGTTTTTGCAAGTTAAACAGTAATGTAAAAATTTCTGTCAAATCCATGAGATGTACTTCTGTGCTTTTACTACAGCTCAAATGCAAAAATTTCCTCCTGTGTTTAATATGTGTACTACATTGGCTAATTGTGGTATGATTCATGTAAAAACCCACAAAATGAAACGAAGTATGGTTTAAAGCATATAAACAGTAACCTCCAGTAACTTCCAGATCCTCACGTGCCTTGAAGGTCATTCCCTGCAGAGAGCAGAAAGCAACTAAGGAAGTGTAAAAGGTACTGTGAGTTCTTTTTCCTATGCAACAAATGAAAGAAAATACTGCTCATCAGAGAGCAACCATTTCCCTGAAGTCAATCTGAGTGACTAAACAATGTTTTTCAGGTTTTAAAGGTTTCTCTTTAATGATCTCCAGAGTCCTTGACTGCCTTAAGGAGCTTGACCCATTCTTACCCAGGTATTTTTTCTTCCAAGCTGCATGGAAAAAAGCTTGAAGAAGTCTCTGTTACTAATAAAAAAGGAACTGACTGCTTACAGAGGCTGCTTTTGAAGTTTTTGTGATAAATCACCTTGAATTGCAGCAGAGGTGAAAGAAAGAATGAAGGTTATCTTCTGACATTATTCTCACCAAGTCATTTACTCATTGTTTGCTTTTGGACTTTATAGTCCCTGCAACATCCAAGCACTCCTTCTGTATCTCAGACTTCAGCACCTCTGTTTTAAAATGGTCTTAGGTTATGTGCAGAAAATATGGAATCAGGCATGCATACACAGCATTGAGAAGGATGGGGAGTGTAAGTCAAGAAGAAACAATAGGAAAGAGACTGAAACCTGACAAACAAATATGTTTCTCTACCTCAGTGAACATCATAGTGGACTTTAGTCTCTGGCTTGTAAACTGTGTATTCTAAATAAAAGCTGAAGCTAGAAAAAGCTGAAACATACCAGAATCTCTTCTTACTTTGAGCTGGAAGTATAGTACCACATCATCTGTAGCTGGACATGCCTTTTGCTTCCTCTGCTTATGCTGCTGCTAACATAGATTTAGATGACTCTGCTTGCCTTTTGCTTTGTTCTTAACACATGTCATAAAGATGGACAAGTAGCACTGCTTAATTGACCATTAATACTGGTATACTTCACTGTAAATACCTCAGGTCAAATGAAAATGGTTTTTTGATATTCTTAATACAAATTTCTTCTATTTTATTTAATACAGTCCCAAAGTCCTTTAAGACTTGTGGTGAAAAGCAGGAAACATAAGGATTATGATAATGGCTCAATGCCTAAAATCCATTTGGTCTACAATTCATTTTAGATTCCTTTACCAGTCTTATGACTTTGTTAACCTTTAGTCTTTTACAGATGGAGGAAGGAGCTCAGAATGAAGAATAATGAAGGAAGAGGTAAAAGGAGAGCATCAGGTATATAATCAGAGCCTGATATACAGTTGAAATAAGCAGGAGTGGGATGCATATGAAGAAGGGAGCATAAACACTAAGAAAGAACATTAACAGTAACAATGTGCAAGGCAGAAAAAGAAATAATTTTATTGTTCCATTTTTGAAGAATTAATTTAATCCAAAAATCTTTATGCAAGTACAGTGTATGACCAGACATACTTCTGCCATTATCAATATGCACACCTATCTCTGTGTATGTGAGCATGCATATATGTATATAAATATGCACATATGTATGTATTTCCATAGTTCCTTTGAAGATTAAATGCTCAGATTTAATACAGCCCTTTTGAACAATCAATAATAATAAGATAATTAGGGACTGAGTGGCCATATATATACCTATATGTTTAAGAGTACATCTGCCAAATTACAAAAATTATGGGCTTAAATATCACAAGGACCAGTTAGCACAGAAATCAACAGCAGCTGGAGTCTAATCCTGCATCACTCCATCAGAGGCAGCTTTGCCAGCGATGCTCTGAGTGCAAGACTGGTGTCCAGCCATGGCCCAGAATACCCTTCCTTATGCTTTAAGTGGCAGAAAAAGGGGACAAGGCTAACTGTGAATCCTCCCCTCCACGGTCACAAACATTTGTTCTTCTTCCTGCCCCTGGAATTCATGCCATATTTACCCACTTCTCACTGCAGTCTGGACTCTCAAATGGAGCTTACCCACACGCTTATGTACTACATTACCTTCAGCAGTGTCCTCCAAGTGCCTCCTGTACTTGCCTGCTGGCCTGAAGGAGGCCCCTTCCCCCTCTGTGCCATTCCCAGCTGCTGCTGGCACACTGTTAGGACTGAAGATGCAGCTCTGAAGCCTGGAGCTGCTCCTCGAAGTACAGCAGCTGATCCACTTCGAAGCAATCACTTGCTCTAGAAACCAATTTCTCCAAACAGCTCCTGATTTCCTCCTCACTGGCATTCTGATGCCTCGCTTGCTTGAGGCAGCTGTACACTGCCTCAAATGCCTCCACTCCCAGCTTCCCAATGGCAGATCTGGGGATACATATTACAGAAAAGGTCAAGTAAAAGTTAATTTATGATATACATGAACACAGGCATTAACCAGTGCAGATTTATTCTGAATGTTGTGGGTTTGATTAAAATTATATCATTATGCACCTTGTTTACCTGACAGTAAAAGGAACTAAAGTTTCCTGGTGAATTTCTCCATGGTTAGGTGCTATACAAAGAGCCCAAGAATAAAAACCTGACCATAGCAAAGTCATGGGAAGCATGTCAATCTTCATTGTTACAGTCCAAGAATCCTCTTCATGCTGAGTCTGACAGACTCTTTTATCTATAACAAGTCTGGTAAACACACATGTATTACTGCCTCTGGATTTCATCAAAAACAAAAGAAGCAACCCCAGTCAGCCAAACACCAGTGGCATTTTATGTGAGCACACTTCGTTATTCATTGCTTTATTTTCACTTCTATCACATACAAGAAAACCATTATACAAGCTCAGCATGAGCTAACTTGACACTTTTTTTTCTTTTCTACAGTGCTCTCCTTTTATCAGAACACAGATCTGTAACTCTGTGACAAAACACACACTCACAGCATCTTAATATTGATTTATAAAAAAGACCCATTTGAAAACTGCAAAATAATGAGCAGCATTTCTTCCTCCGAAAGGAAAAACATCTTTAAATTCATGTATCACAGATAACATAAAATTTTTCACTCAGTGATGCCTTCATATTTTGATGAAAATAGCAGGGTGATTTTCCTTCAGCGTATCAGAGACTATCTGCCTGCTCTTCGTGCTTCTGACAGAGGATTTGGGTTTTTTCACTAAACCTTTACATGTTAGAGAAGCTGGTTGTCTTTTAGATGAAAAGGAGGTGCTTGGAAGGGAACCATGCCATATGGTGCCTGCAGCAGGCTCCCCAGCCAGTGCCTGAGGCAGCAGGAGCTGGGACACCCTCAACCTGTGTCTGTACCAAGGATGATCTATACAAGGGCAGAGAAAGGGATCAGAGATGTCTCCTGGTGCCAGCATTAAGGCTTAGAACTTCACTAAATGTGCACATAGGCTCAGAGGGAGAAGGTACACTTCCCATAGCAGTTTAAAAAGTTAAACCTACCTCCCAACAACAACTTCACAAACTGCAATTGTAGTTTTTCTTGGTTTTGTATTGATTTTTCTACATGTCTAACACCAGGGCAAGGTCAAGTCTTCTCACCCAATAGCATAATCAACCTAACAGAGTAGTTGCTTTTTATGAGTGGTCATCCTGTTATTGCTGAGGAAAAACATCATCATAGTGAAATGTTAGCCAGTAAGAGTTCCATATTATGTAAATTCCTCAATTCTTAGGAAAACATTGCAAAGAATTTTACTTTATTGCTTCTCAAACTTCTCTTATCCCACATGCTCTTTGCTATTCTAGCACCTCGATCATGCCCAGGTGTGGTTCCCCCTTTGGCTTCAGGTGACCCCTCTGCTGGCTCCTGACACAGAGGCAGATCAGGAACCTGGGGCAGAGAAAGTTAAGACCCAGGATCAGAAGTCACAGGGCCAAGCTGGAATCTCTACAGGTCTAGACCTGACTCAGTCCTGCTTCCTATAACTAGAAATTACCTTTTTATTTTCTACCAAGAAATTTATTTAGGAGAAAATACAAACTGTCGGAAATCATTAATTCTCAGGCACTGGAAGCCTAGGGATGGGATTATCACTGAAAGCTAAATGGAGATTTGTTTGACAAACAATGTACATTTCTTCATAAAACATAATCAAAAATATCACTATTTCTGTTCAACAGTTAAAAATCAATACATGAAAAGCTATCCTGAAATCACAATCACTGCTACTTCATCAGTGCCTTTAATGACTTCTCTCTCCCTTTTAGACAAGTATGTTTAATTTTTTTGTCAGTCCTGTATATTTAAAGATGAAAAATTAAGCAAACATATACCTTGGGAGTATTGCTTCTGCTAATAAATGTGACCTGCAGACTCGAATCTTCTCTGTTCAGCTTGACAGAGCACGCAAATCAGCTAATCTGTGTAACAGCTGATACAACAGAATTAAGGAGAAAATGTTCATAGGTTGAAAATTATGGGGTAGGTAACAAAAATTATAACCTGCTTTTACAAAAGAAGACATCAGGCTCTGTTTGGGCTTGAGAGCTGCATTAATTTGACTCTACTAGCACATCATGCATCACAGAGGCAGAAGTGTGGGATCCCAGAGAGTAAATGTCAAAGAGGCGTCACTGAGTCAATCTATTATCCTGATGGAGGGAGAGGGGAAGGCACAAAGGGAGGTTTGTCCATTATGGCCCTGATCCTGTGCTAGGGGTATTTGTCCATTCATGTAAAATCCTAGAGAGGCACAATTACAGATTGCTATTTCACATGAAATATGGGATACCGCATTAATGTTTTGAAGATAATTAAAGCCTTTACACCAAATATGCTGTAAGAACAAGTGCAGAACTCCCATTTACAGTCATGTTTGGTCATCCAGCTTTTCTGATTTACTGGCATTTACTCTCTTCATGCTATCCTATAGCTCACTCACCTACAAACTCACTGTGAGTCATCATCTCTTTTTCAGCCAAGACTACATGAGTGAAGGGGATACCTGACATCTGGGATTTAATTACTGTGAAAAATTGTGGGTCGGACCTCCATCCCACACTGGCCTAAATTGTTTTTCAGTGTTCTAAAATCCAAGGAATTACATCAGGCTCTACCAGTCCAGGGTATGACTTTGGGTAATACTCAGTAATGTGCTTAAGTGTCATATCTCAGACTGTTCTTTTCTTTCTTTGTTACAGAGTCTTAGAGGGAGGGATTCATTGAGCTCAACTTCCCCCACTCCTGGCTGCACAGAGCAGTCCCAATGCTCCAGGCAGAGGAGGCACAGGGCTGGAAGCATGCTGTGACCACCAACCCACTGGCTGGACAGCAGATATTGCCAGTCTGGGAACACTGTCACCCACGGAAGCTGTGGCCTGAAAAACAGTTACTCTTGTTGCCAGCACTTGTGCAGCACGCAACACATGCCTGAGAAAATGAACTGCAACAAGACCCAAAGGCCATATTGATATTTGATTTGTGGATAATGATGGAGCTTGGACATAAAATAGAGAGTTGGTTCTATCAAGAATAAGGCACTTTTGAGTATGGGAGACGCAGTAAAGAATATTAGCAAAATCATAGGCACTGCTGGAGGGGAGCTAAATAGGAGCCTTGAGAACTGCAATTTTTAGACACAGGGTGTCTAAACCATTCCGAGTCATTTAGTGGATTTGAATTTATCAGGCTATCTGGTGATTCACAGTTGATTTTCTACGCATCATTGCAAAATTACTAACATCTGACAATATAATAATCTTGTATTCTCAACTGGCTGAGGAAGTTGTAAATCTTTCCCTAGTTGAAAAAAGAATTCTCTATTATCCCACAGGTTTTCACTTTGACTATTCTGGTATTAGCTACATATTAACTTCTCCTTTCTGGCTCGGAGATTAATTACAATACACCTACCTTTATGCCACACTGACAAAAGCCACAAAACAAGATTAATGCTGAAGTTTGTGCTCCTCCGTGGGCATTAGCAGCCAGGTTAATATCTCTCAACAACTTGTCACGACCTGCCTTGAAGGATAACTATGATAGAAATCAGCAGCTATGGGGTTTTTCAGCTTCTCACTTTCCAATGTCATTTAGCATGAGGGCAACGATCATTTAAAGCCATCCTGGTCTCACTGGTGCCTTCAGGGAGCTGCGTGTGGTCCGTGCAAGGAGAGGCTCTGCACACACCAGAGCAGTAACACCATGAAAGTACCTCTGGATCAGGCATCAGCAATAACATCTCACCTCTGCCATAACAGGCAACAAACACACTGCTTCTAAGACAAACACAGAAAATTCAGTTATTTCAAAATACCAGTTACTTGTGCCTACATCAATGTAAACCTTAATAAAGAAACTTTCTGGACATGTAATACCCATTCCACTGGGCATTTATTTATCCTTTTGAATGCAGCCAGGCCACATGCATCCTCCACTAAAGAGCAGATTATAAGGTAGAAAACAAATGTTCATTGATTTTGGCTCATGGGGCATAAAAGCAAATGCAGAGATCTTTGAAGAATAATTTCAGTAGATGCCTCTAAATTCTGTTCTTCCTAGCTCAAGGAGCTAACTCCATGGAGCAGCATTATTTAGGATTCTCATCAACACATTCAACAATGATTTGTCCCTGACTTAATGCTATTTCCAGGCATCAATTTATTAACCCCATATTTCTCTTTGAAACAGTACAATCATGCCACTTTACAGCTAACCAGTAGTGATATGAATCTCAGTGAAAAAGATTGCTACATTTATCTCCCGAGATGACTTTGGAAAGGAATCAGGAAATTACATATCCTTAGTCTCATACAAAATATTATTTTCTAACTGTACTAAAATATCTTTAGATATCTGCTACAACATCTCATGGTTCAGTAAACAAACAGGTTTATCTCAGCCAGAACACAAAAGATCTCTGTCCTCTCAAGTTTTCTTTCTGTCATTCGGTTTGCTGGCATTACTGACTATGAATGATTAAAACTTTGACATTTGAAAGAAATGGCTCTGGGTTCAAATCTTCATTTGCAGCATAACTTCTCTGTTGCTGTTTAAAGATCCCTTGGGATCTGTTAGGAGAAGGGCATAATAACTTCCATGATTCAGGTATTAGAAACCTATTTCTAAAGGCAGGGCAACACTCTTCTAGTTCTGACAGTTGTTCAATCTTGGGAATGTGAAAAAAATGGCTAAGTCTAAGAAAAGGGCTTATTAAAAAGAATAAGGTAACAGAAAGTAATATTATACAAAAGCTAGTTAGAAAAGAAATACAAATTACTAATATTAGCCCCCACCTTCACCTTCAAGCCTCAATGGACTTTGTCTATCTTCATATTACAGCTGAATGAAAATTTCTTCACTTGAAAACACAATGATAATTTTCCTAATTAATCCTTAATTA